GGCCGCTATGGGTTGTTACCTGTTTGTGTCCTATCCACGTTGCCTTCTGCCAAGTCCTTACCAATGCCTTTGTGGTTCTACCTATTGTACGACTTTCTTGTGAATTTCATTTTTTATGTGCAATTCTCATCAGCCTCACCATGCCAATAAAGGGAAATGTGTTTGAAACAAAAATCTTTATTTTTTTCCCGATTATCTCCCTTTTCTCTGTGATGAATGTCCCGTCGTCAAACAGTCAGCGCCGGGGAGCGATGATTTGTTCTCTGTCTGATTACTATCAAGCAGACGTTCTTTTTAAAAAAGATTTTAAAAGTTATGAAAACAATGCATGTTGTAAAAGTGGTCTCTCGATAAATCCATCATGCCTCGCTCCTGCGTTGATATATCAAAGTGTTGAATGAAAGCTGACTGGAACGACACGAGCACATCTGTCTCTCCCTCTGAAGTTTCTCCCCTAATAAAGAAACTCAACCTAATTCAGAACAACTCCCCTCTTTGATATTCACATCACCTGGGAGAGAACACTGTAGTCTTTGTGTCCACAACTTGACTCCACACCACGAGTCTGCGAGTTAATTAAAAAGTTAGGGGGAACAATTTCATTAACGCGATGGAGAGCTATAGTGGGTTGATGGTGTGCTTGATATTCATAATGATTATAACAGCCCCCCTTTTTTGCTTTAACACAGCCCGGGATCACACCGGGAGCTTTCACCATGTCTTTTTTTTCTACTTGTGCGAAGAGAAATATGGGAAGAATGTGCATTAAACTTTAAGGTTGGGGGTCTGATTGTGTTTTTTATTAAGGCCGCTGTTTAGCCCCGGAGAAGAGAGCGGCTGGCTTTCATTTCGGCTCGGCTGGCGCATTACAGCGGGAGGTCTCCGTCTGCTTGCCCTTTCCACAGAATGAAACTGTCCCTGGAAATCTCTCTGCTCCCTGTCGGCTTTTTCTCTCCCTCCTCTCTCCTTCCATCACGATAGGATAGCTTTTTTTTTTATCTGTTATGTGTCTTTTTTATTATTAACCAGTAGATAAGCAGCTATCTCTACTCCAGTTGGAAGTAAGAGGTAGCCTTGGAGATAATGGGGTTTGATGGGGCCGGGCTCTCTGTGGGACAAACACTGAGATGTGTAGCTGTGTATTTTATTTGGCGTCTAGCTGTGGCTGTTGAAATCCTGAAAATGGCACCGACTATTCAGCCTTTTGTTTCCAGCGATGTGACAAGAATGTCTAAAGTGGTTGAAAATGAAAACCGTGCACAATCCTGGCAGCTCCGCCCGTGTCATGACCATATAAGCAGGCTAATGTGTGGAAAAAGCAGTCTTCGATAATAAAATTAGACTACCTGAGACTAGTTAATTAAAGCCTGTGGGGTGGAACATGAGCAATCTACCAGTCATTTACTATCAAGAACATTTTTTTGTATATCCTCAGCCGAGCACAAGATGTATCAAGAGTAAAAATGTCCCTTCTGTATTGATAGGGAACAACTGACATTGAAGCAACAACATTTATCTTCGGTTCTGTCACAATAATTAAAGTTAGGTGACACTGATTATCTCTGACTACAAGGCTGGCAGAGGGAATAAAAACAGGATTATAGATGTGGGATTAGGAAACTGTTGGCGGTGACAAAATAACATCAAAGAAGCGACGGCAGGATGTGACGCTCACTGCCTCTGGTGTCCCTTCAAGGTTTCTCTTTGCTCAATCCCCCAAACTCCTCCTCACTTTCTGCCTCCCTGGCCTTTTAGTTTGAGATTATTCATATAGGATGAAACATTGTAGTATCTCGTTACCAGGCAGAGTAAGGCGCTCAAGTGACGCAAAACTAACAAGACTTTTCCGGAAGTGGAAGTGAAATCATGAAGCCTCATGATATCATGACTGCGATCGCTGCAGGCACGCCGTTGTTCCTTTCCCATCAGATTGCATGAACAAACTGTGGATGATCTGGAAGTCACATGGCCCTGTCGTGACAGTGTTGTGGTCATGTGACCCTTTGGCTCTTTTCTTTTAATCAAAAGAAGAAACATTTCTGCAGCGTTGCCTTGATCCTTTGATGAATCGCAACAGAATGAACCACTATATTGCTTGGCTTCCATTTGTTCAAACACTCCTCTGTTAGCGCCATTTTTTTTTTGTCCTACAAGCCTTTTATCGTATGCCACCTTCTGGGAGAAGATAATGACAGTGCTATTAAAATCACAATCTCCCTGTCCGGCATTCTAGTTTCAGCACTTTCTGCTGTTAAAGAGTAATGAGGAACAGAAGGACAGTATTCTTCTTCCCCCCAAACTATCAACTTTGGGGACTGAATGTATTCTTCGCTAGATAATTAATGGCTACAGACAAATGGTGGTTGATTGAGCGACTCATCCCTCTATTTTCAATCACCATCTGCTGTGTGTTGCTGGCAAAAAACTATGTTAATTACCTCAAGTGTGCCCAAGACGTGGCATATTAATTAGAACAACCACACACAAAAAAGAGAAAGATTCCAGTGTTTTAGCATCCGTGATGATGTGTTCGTATAGATTTTGTTGATGGATTAGCACAGGAATCAGATCCAGAAGGCAATCATTTGGTGATCTGGCCTTTTGATCATTTACTAACAGATGACGTGCTTACGTTCACCTGCTTCCTGTGCCTCGAGGCCATGAAGGGCCTTTTAAAAATGCCGAGGCTGGCAACTGCATGTGTGCCACACCGAGGGGACATCAGCAGAAAGATGAATCTGCAGAGTGACCGCAGGGACAGAGGGGTGACAGAGAGCGTTAGGACTGCAGATTCAGACGGCTGGGCCCCCTCACCTGACCGAAAAAAGGGAGTAAGGAGACTGAGTCGACGTGACAAGGCTGTGATGGCGCTCTTTGGGCGGAAAACTCAGGGAGGCTCAGTGAGCAGGTGCTCGGCAGAGATGGCAAGAGTACACACATCCTTTACTTAAGTAGAAGTACGGATACTCGTGTTTAGAAATGCTCTGGCAAAAGTAGAAGTACTGACTAAAAAGAAGTATGGGCTTCGAAATGTACTTAAAGGTCACCTATTGTGCAAAATCCACTTGTTAGTGTCCCCTCTGCGTAAAGAGATTCTGAAAGTTTCAGGAAAAAAAGATTCTCTCACTTTTTATCCTGATCCATTTATATAAAAACCTGAAATCTGAAAATGAGCTGATCAGATTTTGGCCACTTTATGATGTCAGAAAGTTTTTTTGGGTTGTGTAACCATTAGCCAATCACAAACCAAGGTAGCACCTGCCCACCTTATCACCTGAATCTCCTCCTAGAGGACCATTGTGTTTTTTTAACCAAATATCTCTCAGTGGGGCGTGGGGAGGGGCTCCTTATTTTCATCTAAAGTAACAGACAGAGAATCAGCACGTTTGAAACAGGGCTGAAACAGAGGGGATTATGGGATGCTAAAATGATCTGTTTGGTGTTTCAGACAAACACTTCAGAGACATGTTTGTATATAACTGAGACCTATAATATATTGTTGAAAATTAGTATAGCAGCTGTTTTAAAGAGTACCTGACCTCCCTTTATATTAATAGAACAATAATGTCATTGTTAGCTAATGAATGTTTCCATGCTGAACAACGGCAACATGACAACGTTTTCATTGGTCCCTCTTCTTTAGAGAAGACCAGGAAATAATTATGGATACACGGATCGTTTTCAAATCAATAGACACGCAATGACTATAAATAATAATGATCACGCCACCAAACACACATTAAAACTAAAGTAACGAGACTGTTTTGAAAATGTAAGAAGTAAAAAGTACAGGTATTTCTGTTAAAAATGTAAGAAGTAAAAGGTTGTCAGAAAAATAAGTAGTGGAGTAAAGTACTGATACCAGAAGAATGTGCTTGAGTACAGTAACAAAGTATTTATACTCCACTACTTCCCACCTCTGGTGCTCGGAGGATCCTGATTGGCCCGGCGTCACTAACGAGGAGAGCAACATGTAAATGTGATGATGTGAGCGGCATATCATCGGTTATTATTTGGTAATCACGGAGTGGCATCAATAACAATTAGCATAATTTCCACAACTTCAGTACTTAATGACTTCATCCGAGATACTGACAAATCAAATATGCTTATTTCCTCCGTACAAATAGGTCGTTTACAGTCTGTTGCACACTGGATTAAGAACGTTGAGGACTGCAAATAAAAAAAAGTAGCACGGAAGCTGAATCATTAAATGACTCAAAGGGATACTTTTACCCTAAAAATAAAAAGGATAAAACTGAAATTGATGAATTAAAGTAAATGGGCAACAACAACAGCAACACTATATAATTGGGCTTGAATTGTGTGAGAGTTTTGAACGGATATTTTGATATACTTTTGCTTTTTCACGGCCCTGATTTACCTAAATTCATCTGAATTGTAATTGAGTGTTTTTTACATAATTTATTTTTCAACCATTTTATAGACTGAAACAAATTTGTGTTGCAGAATAATCATTTTTTTGTATTTCCATCCCACAGAAATCATCTCATACTCAGCTTGCGGCCACTCGTCAGGGTCACAACCCCCAGTTTGGGAACCACTGCTTTAGACTTATAAAGCAAGCTCTCTAGTTTGTATTCTTGTTATTTAAACTGTCCCATACTGGTTGGATCTAGGCTTCATAATGGCTCCATTCAAGCATTCTTGAGAAGATGGCTTGAAAAGAGAGAAAGCTGAGTGCTCTCTCCCTCTCTGTGCACCCCCCCC